ATCCCCAGCCCATCAAAAGGGCTCTTGACCTGGGGAGGCAGCATGCCTCTAAAAGGAGCACCAGGAGTCAGCTCTGGATTGGGCCCCACCACTGCCACCGTGTGGAGGAGAGAGACCCCTACAGACACTGCCTCCTCACCTGCAAGTGCAAACCTGTTCAGAGCGGCTTAAAGAAAACTTCACCTCTAAAATTATGATTAAACCTAAGTAAATGGATGTCAAATACAGCCAAAAGTCTAGAATTCTAGACAAAACAAGACACTGACCACAATAACACTGATTATGTACTAGAAATTCTATTTGAGCACCAGCATCACAGCTCCTGGGAGGGGTACATTAATAAAAAAGCTAATTTACTTTAAACCATCCTTAGCCACAGCAGCAATGAGAAGACAATTAAGAGATTCAGATTTCATCTCCTTCCTGTTTCCTCTTCCCTTTACTGTGGTTACACTAATGACCAAAGACCCAAAGGAGAGAAACCAAAAGGAGATGAAGAAGACAGGAGAATGAATCCCAGGTTAGAAATCCCAGGTTAGACTAATGCTGTGTAAAAATTCCAAGTTATAAAACACATCCAATTTGAGATGTAACTGCCATCAAATTTTATTTTTTAAAAAACTGTTTTTTTTTCTAACTAGAAAACAAACTTAAGCTCTGAATAATTAAAGTTATGAAACTTTGATGTATTCACAGCAATGAGAATAAACCAACTACTGTTGCTCTCAGCAATGATGAACTTTACAACCATAACCTTGAGTAGAAGACAACGCAAGAGAACACAGTATATGTTTCAATTAATAGAAAGCTCAAAAAACCAGCAAAAGTCACTCCAAACAGGGAGAAGTCACTCCAAACCAATACCTTAAGATACATCACAGTCACTTTAACATCTTAGTGTGCTATCTGGTAAATATGTCATGATTTATTTAACCAGTCCCCAGTTCATGGATATTCAAGTTACTTCTAAAGATTTGCTCTTACATGGAACACTGCAGAACAGTCTTGCACTGGTGCAAGTAGTTCTATGTAATAAATCCCTAGAAGTAGAACCAGTGGGTCAAAGAAATATCAATAGTATCCACATTTGAAAATTTAAACCAAGAAACTTTTTGGCATCAGGAGAATCTATTCAACTTCAAGGCTTAATTCAACCAAGAAACTTTTTGGCATCAATGACTTTTTCTCCTTTCATCTACTAATGTAGCATATTAATACATTTCTTAATATGCTTTGGGTGAGGGATACAGCTGATCATGGAAAATAGCATTCAATTTGTTGGTATTTTATTTAGAAACTGCATGTCTAAGCTCTTACATTAGTAAGAGGTACATTTCTCACAATTAATGAACCCATACTAGTATATTATTAACTCCTGGTATCAAAAGTGCTCTGCAAAATTAATTGGGAAGCCTTCCATTTCTTTTTACACTCTGAAAAAGTTTACATCACACCAGAAAGGTGTGCCTTAAAGGCTTGAAAGAGTTTGAATAAACTCTGTGCCAGACTTTATAACATTTTCTAAGTTCTTCCATGATTACTGATCCACTCAAATTATTCTACTTTTTCTTTGACAAATTGCTTTTATCCAGAGGATGATAATTTGATCATAATTTCAGAATTGTTAAGAAAATCACAATTTAAAATCATTAATTATTTCTAACTTAATTTGGATTTTCTCTTTTTCTTGGTTAAGTAGTCTATCTTGTTAATCTACTGACAATTGTATGGGGTAGGTTTTATTGTGATCACCATTTTCCTTATGAGAAAACTGAGGCAAAGAACTGTAATTCACCTAAGTCTCACAGCTAGTAAGGGTTGCAGCCTACCTCCACACTCAAGCTCCTTTTCTTTTCTATTAGTAAAACCACCTGGAATCCCATCCATAACAATATATAATAAAATCCAAGCTCCTTTTCTTCTCTATTAGTAAAGCCACCTGGAATCCCATCCATAACAATATACAATAAAATCCAAGCTCCTCCAGTGCCTCCCTACAAGGTCCTTACATAAACTGGACCCTGACTACCTGTCAGGTCACCTCTTACCACTTGCCCCCTTGTTCTAAGCTTAAAATATTTAAAACCTGGCCTTCTGCAGCCAAAGCAGGCCTACTACTATTATAGGCTCTTACATTCAGACAATTCCCCACTTGCATTAATTACAATGCTGCCAAATGTGGCCACAGATAGATAGCACTGAGCCTGACACAGCGCTCTTGACATTTTTACTTCTGTGGCACATTTACAAATCAACACTGACTTTGTATTATGTCCACAATACCCTGCTGTCTTTCCACCTAGGAGAATCTATTCAACTTGAAGGCTTAATTCAAGTTCCACTTCCCAAAAGCAAAGATGCTATGTCAACAATGACTCCATCTGGAGGTGACACTGTTTTCCTGACCACAAGAATGCTTATACTTTAACCCATTTTGTCCCATTGTTTCAGATGTGGAACACCTATAAAATTTAAATACAGCATATAATATGCAATAAGAATATAATTGAAATAGTAATTAATGTAGTACTATATACACCCTATGGTTCCCAATCTATTTTAATACACTTGTGTTAATTATATTGAAATATTCACAGAACTGAAAATTTGGGACTTAATGGGTTAAGGCAACTGTAGCACTTGTCTAGTTACATGAGAGGAAGCATCAAATAGCATTAAGACTTTAGGCTTGTGGCCAGAATACCTGGGTATGGATCTCACCTCCTCCACTTACTAGCTGTATGACTTTAGAAAACTTAAATTCTGTTTCCATTTTTAAGTCTGTATAATGGATATAACAGTACAAACCTCATACTTATGAGGATGAAACAAATTAATACACAGCATATGCTTAGAACAATGCCTGTTGGCTTTTATTTGCTTATTTGAATATTTGCCACATCTACCGAACATAGCTATTAGTCATGAAGCACATAGATAATGAACCTTCAGGGTCATAACATGCAATGTACATTCACATTGTACCTGTACACTTAGACATAACAACTCTTTTTTGAAAAAGAAATGTTACATCTTTTAAGTGCCAGGCATGATGCAAAGAAATGGGGTTTGTCAGAAACATTTAAATTCAAATTCAAATTGCTCTTTCTTGCAAAAGAACTGTTACATTTTTATTTACAGTGCCCAGGGCATGAGGCAAAGAACTGGGCTTTAGACAGCAACACTTGAATCCAAATTCGAACTGCAAAATTTGCAATTTCTCTTTAAACAGATATATAACTTCTCAGTGCCCCAATTTTCTAACCAGTAAAATTGGAATAATATCTCCTTCACTGGGCTGTGTAACACTCAGCATCATGCCTGTTTCATCACAGGTACACCATAAATTTTAATTCCCTTTGACGGTGTTCCCAAAAGGTACACGAGCACAGCTTCTACAACATTTTCTTAGAGATCCACCACTACTACATCAAGCACAATTTATTTCATTCTTTAAATTCAAAATCCTGCAAAAAATGGGTTTACCTAAAATAAAACCCATTTATATTTCATGTTAAAAACCTAAAATCCCAACAACATAAGAACAAGAAGACATCTGTTTTTTTAAGACACTAAAAAACTTTTTGTAGACATTAAATACACGTTAAAAACAATTTTAAAAGTTATGAAAAGGTTCACTCCGCCGCGCAAGGCATTCACTTGCCATCAATTTATCCCATATAAGCATAGTTCACAATGATGAGGCTGAAACGACGTTTCACCCCAGGAACTCTTCAACAAATACAGGGCAGACCGCTCCAATATACATATATATTTAATTACAACAAAACCTTATGTAAACACACCAACCCATCGCTTGCTAAAATTTCCGGTAACACTCTGAAAAGTAGCCCTTCCATTGTCCATATCCAATTTTAGAAGCTACAAAATCCGCCAAATGGGGATAAGGCAGCCAAAATATACCGCGTCGCCCAGCACTTGCTGCGAGCCGGACAAATGCTTGAAACCGCACCTAGCCCACATCTTGCTTTATAAAATACCCCGCGGAGAAGTTGCTATTTGTAAACATTAAACCGTTTTTATCACTTCATGTTATAAAACCCAGAGCATTCCAAACTTGGAGGCGGCAGAGGAAGGAGGCAAGCGATTTCCAACAGATTAAGACCCTAGTCTCTCAAAGGACCACATGGCAGGTATGGAAAGTTCTCCCGCTTCCCCGGAATCCCCATATTTTTCCTGGCTCCAGCACCCGCCCTCTAACAGCAAAGAAAAGGATCAACACGCGTCTCTACAACACCCCCGCATCTTTATTTTCGTGATCGTTTAGGTATTTACAATAAAACAGCGAGGCGGAACGGTCTTTGACCAAATGCAGTTATCTCCAAAGCCTCAAAATCTACACCGCAAAAATCTACAACTCAACTCGCGAGTTTGCCAATTCTTTAAAGTCAAAAAGTCTGAGTGAGAGTCTGGGTCTTTTCTCATTCCCCATCCGCCTCCGCCAAGTAACAGGTTGCAAAGAGAAGCAACTCGTCCCAGAAAGTCGGCACCAGCACTTTAAGTTATCAAATCTCAGAAGTTCACACGCGCCAGGGGCCCCGGAAGAGGCCCAGGAAAACACTCAACACCCCCCGCCGCCGCCCGAGCGCTCCGCTGAAATTTGAGGCAGTGAAGTGCAGACTTTCTTTACCCGTAAAGCCAATCCTCTTCCCCCCAAGAGTCCCAGCCACTAAGCCAAGTCGCTTAACGGTTGTACTCTCCTGACACCTAAGAAAGTTAAAGAGAAGGAAAAATATATTTAGACCTGTTCAGGTCCCGAATCCGCCAAACCAGCCTCCCCACGGAGCGGAAAACCCGCCCGCGGTGGCCCAAACTCCACCTTCCCGGTGGACGACGGTTATGGCCACTACAGAATTTGGAACGGTCCTTGTGCCGGAAACCAGGTTTGACCCCTGTGGCGCACACCTGTCGCGAACCACAGGGATGCGTTTGACACTGGAATGGACCAGCCAGCGCCCACGGCGAAAGTGTTTCCACGTGCGTGAATGGGGGCGGGACCAGTACAGAGAACCAATCGGCCGTCGCCCGTGGCACGCCCTGGCCTTTGAACTGCCAATCCCACGGGCGCCTGAACTGCCGTAGAGGAGGACAGTGTTGCTAGGGAAACTTCGGAGGGGCGGAGCCTTGCTGCCCCAGAGGCGGGGGGGGGGGGCTGGCCTCCTAACGGTGGTAGCTGGGTACCTGATCCCAGATTTTCTTTCGCTGAAGCGACTACGGTTGGAAAGAAGCTATGCGGGGAGAGGTTTCTACGGCTGCGCGGGAGGTCCGACGCGCACGCGCAACTTTTCCCGCGGTACAGCCGTTCTAGCGGGAGGCTGGAGAGGTTGAGGGTCATTAGATGCTTGGCTTCCCCACTTTCATTGTTTGGTTATTCGAAGCATGCTGTTGCTTACATATAATCCCATCACTTCCCACTCCCCAGCGTCATCCAAGTTGACTGAATTCCAAGGGTTCATGTCAGTGCTTCAATTTGGGTAGAGGGAATGAGCCTTTGCTAAGGTGCTAAGACTGGTAGGAACTTGGGAAAAGTCAATTCCAGTCTCCCACAAATACTGGAGTAGAGAACTAATACAGGTCCTGAAGCCATATTTGCTGTTTGAACCCCAGCGTCAACACTCAAGAGTTGCTCTGTGGTTTGGGCAAGCCAAGTAACCGCCCTGTGTTCAGTTTCCCTCTCTGTAAAGTGGGCATACGAAGGGGGAACAGGACTTAGTATATGAGAAACACTTAGAACAGTACTTGGCACAGAACTATGCTATGTAATAAGGGTACGTCACATTACCTAGCGACATATTGCCTTCCGTGCATCAAGGATGCTCATCTTGGGAAGGAGGAACAGTCTGAGTAATTTATCAAAAACAAAACAGTCAGTTGTTTCAAAGTCAAGTCACAGCTCTTTTCCTGGCCCAGAAAGGACCTACAAGGAAAACAGCTTGAATGTTGGAAATGTAACGTGAAACTAGTTTAGTGCCCACTATAGATTTTTTGCTTCAACTTTTGCCATGATAAATCCCTCCTTTACGTCCACTTTTTGTTTGTAAAACCCAAGAATATAATTTTATAACATGAAGAGAAACGAGTTGTTTAATTGCAGTCACGTTTATTTGCAGTTTCTATACACACTTTCTAGGTAATCAAACTTTTCTGATACATTTTTTGAGAGGGGTTCACAATGAAACTGTCACCGTTTTTACTAAAAATAAATACAAGACTTAAAGTGTTGCACAGCTCTAAAATATACAAAGGCTTGGATTGAATGTAAACGTTGAAAACATTTTACAAAAGAAACCATCTTTGCAACAATTTAAAAAGTTTATATTTACAAATATTACAAAAATACAAAATGGATGCAAGTCCATAAACCATTGTCTTTTCGGCCAGCATGAACTGGTTCTAGTACCAAAATAGTTACACTGTAACCTTCTTCATAATTTTAAATCTTTGTCAGGATCTAGTTCTTAAGTGCCACCACTGCAGCAAATGTACCCACTCACTGACCTTTGGCAAGAGCAAACAGCATGTTTTGTTTGCTATACAACTAGTCCATGTCCTCTACTTAGCCAAAAACAAAACAAAACAACAACAAAATCAAAGCAAAATCAAAAGTCGGGGAAAAAGAAAAAAAAAAAATCTCCCCTACACAACATAGACCTGTTGTATAAACATAAAAAAAAAATCAGCATCAGTGCAAACAACAGAAGAAAAGTTCAGGTTGATGTTCTTTACAATACCTAATGTGTGTAACCTGCTTCAAGCCAGCAGTGATGTTAAAGACAGCTCTAAATCTTGGTTTTGTTTGTTACATAACAAATCCATGTAGAATATTCCAGATGCTTAAGGAATTTCTTGCTTTTTTACTCAGTTACTCAATACTCTTTTCCACAGTGAATTTAAAATCCATCTTTATTTGGGTTTTTCTTAAATCTATGAAATATAAAATAGAGAAACTCTGCTATAGATTTTTAGAGTAAACAAAATAAGTAAAACTATATTTATAAGGGTTAGTTCTGTGATCATATAGAAGGTATCTTATTGCCTTACAATTCAAGTCAATATGTATTTTAAAATATATATGGTACCATTACTTAAATTAATGTCAATAATAAAAAGGTGACATTTTTATTAAAGCCAATCCATGTTTTCTATTCAAGATTTAGAATCACTTTTAAAGCCCACATACCTCTTTCTTCACTCTTAAAAAACCCCTAACTACGCAAAAGCCATACTGCAAACGAACTGCTTTTATGAGAATTATAAAAGATCACCATTGTGACTGGAAATGATGGTTTCTTATCACATTTGTCTAAAAACTTTTATTTTTAAAATTTTGCCAAGTGTACTTTTCGAAGCATGAGACAGATCTGTTCATGTTCCCATGTGGTGTCAAACCATGCTGGTTGTCTTAATTAGTGTGTTCCAATGAGAAATGATGGTCCATTTTTTTCAAACCCCAAAACATTTTTCTTTTAATAAAAAGTATAACACTTTGTAAATGTTCAAACCCTTTACCAGGTAGCTTATCTATCCCCAGTACACATGTTCACACATACACACCCACACACACTCTCTCGCTCTCTCTCTCCCTGTCACACTCTCTCTACCCCCTCTCAATCTCCTCCTCTACCCCTCCACCCCCAGCACCCATTTTTACATACAAGAATGACAAGAAATTAAGTAACACAATTTGGTAGTACAAACAAATAGTAGAAGCCAAACATTTTTTTTTCTTTCCAAACAAACAAAACACCAACAGCAATCAGATTCTCTAATTCTTAATCTGTAACATCTTAAAACACATTTCTATTGAAAGACAGTATCTTCTTAGACCAGGCTTTCTCCTTCATTTTGCATTGAGTTAATCCCAAACCACAAACCCCTTTCCACACATCCTACTTTTCCAAATACCACTTGCATGGGCTTAAAGCCAGCTGCATATCAATTTCTTGGTAACCCTGGTGTAGTCTATCATTCTACTCACATTCTAGTCTTTTATAGGCCATATTCCTTCTTAGTTCTCTCTACTTTCTACCTCTCCCATTCAAAACCTATTCTAAGTACATAGCTGCTTATATTTCTGACACGATTCCAAATATTAGTATCAGTTCACGTGAAAGTCAGAGGTGTAAAAACCACTTGCAGATTTCAACTTGTAACTACATTTTTTTTCAGTTTTAAGACAAGAAAATTCAAGTAATTTCAAGTAATTCAGCTTGTTTCCCTGCCTTCATTTTATCAGAGCACTTGCCCTGACAGTTCCTTTCCCACCCGCCACCCTCCCCCTTTGCCATCAAGCAGATATAGTAAAACCAGACAAAAACTCAGTTGTATGTAGCATTGTGAACCAGAGCTGTTCCCCATTCCCAGTTTAACAGTGAATATAAATAATGCATATACACATACCTATTTCCCAACTACATTGTTCACAGTGTCATTTCTGTTAATTTTTAGGTAGCATGAATCTCATCAGCACAGAGAGAAAGCTTCACTGAAAACTCACTGCAGGTACTTACTGATAAATCAATAGCTCTGTGGCATGCTTACATTTTATTTTTGTTAGTTTAAGAACCTGGAGCTAATTGCTAAACTGTTGAAGGATTTTAAAGATTATAGTCATTGGATTATGACCTTTTATGTCCCCAGTAGCCTAATATAAAACATAACCTAAAATTAACTACTGGTTTCCCTACTCATTCTCTTTAAAGCAATCCATTGAAAAAATTAAAGTCTAAAGGACACTCACTGTCAAATGCTGTTTTTTCAGGGCTTTGTGTTGAGAATGATGACTTCTCTCATGTTGGCTAAAAAAAAGTCAAAAGCATGCTTTTCATTCTGTCCAAATTACCACATGGCAAATCACAGCTACAGGTTGCTATTAGCTTGTTTATGCTGTAATTTGTCATAAGAATGATTAGGTCTGAATTCTTTATCTTAGATTAATCACATTTCAGTATATGACCTCAAGGTTTCCTTTATTTCACCAGTTTTAAATTTATATTCGAGGTTTTCATCACTCAGAAATTATCGGTGGACATTTAAATATGGTATTGATATGAAAATGGTATTCACAGAATACAGGTATCACACTTTATTTTGTGTGTTCTACAAACAGTTGGTGTGCGGTAGATAATTGGCCACATGTCCACTCATCATTGATAAACCTATTTACACATTTTTATCAAAAATATGGTATTTACATATGTGTACTTCTTTCTTCTAAATTTTGCTTTTGTTCATTTTAATGTAAAAAAATACCAAACCTCCAGAGTAATTTCATCTTCTTAAAGAATCATGACAGTGAGGGCTTTATTTTATTTTTGAATAGGCAGCTCTGGGAAAAACCTTGTGTCGGTTTCATGAAAATTAGATATTTTTATATGCTTTATTATCACGGGGAATGAGGTTGGGTACATCAAACTAAGCTAAAGAAAAACCATGAAAAGACAGTGCAGTTACTCAAAACAGGGAAACGAATCCAGAATGACGAAACCACTTTTTGTTTTCCCCAGCATGTATTTAGAAATCCGTTGCTCAGCAGTGATGCTCCCCAGTCCTGTTACTTGTCCGGAGTCCTCTGTAGCATCCCCACATCCCCTCGGAACTAAGGGTTTGGGCGTTGGGGGGCAGCCTGACATAGGCGGCCTATGTGGAGCTCTGGGAGGAGCGGTCGTCGTGCGGGCTCCCGTCGGAGTTTTCCGTCTCTCCCTCGGAGATGGCCTGCATGGGCGTGTTGTACAGCCGGCAGCGGACACTGTAGCGGCTGCTGCTGGCTACAGGGGGCGCCCGGGAACGTCCGACCCTGGCTGATGCTGAGGTGGCAAAGTTCTTCGAGGCAAATCCTTCCGCGTTGACTCTCGGGGAGCACGGGGAGAGTGGGGACAATGCCTCGGCCCCAGGGGATCCCTGATGGGCATCATCGGTGCTTTGGGGGGACTCCACTGTGAGTTCCCCAGGAGGTTTGGGCAGGATGGGACTCTTCAGGATCTCAGTGGCAGACATGCGGTAACTGGAATCAGAGCGACTGCCTTTCTTGAGGAGTAGCAGCTTAAACTCTTCGTTGGATGTGTTGGACTTTTTGGCATTGCGGTAGATGAGACCAGGAGACCTCTGGCTGTTTGCAGTTGTCACGCTGCTGCTGGGAGAAGTCACAGAACTGGCCCCGCTGCTACTGCTGCCAAGGGGAACTCTCGATTTGCTTCGAACAGACATGTCCCCAGAATCTTTTCTTCCAAGTACTTTCCTCTTGGATCTTTAAGAAAAGGAAAACAATGGAGCAAATAATCTCAGTCCGCATACATTTTTATGAAGCAAAGAGTTCAGTTCCATTCACACATCTATTTGAAAAGTATTTTGAGTGTGTCCTATATGATAGGATACTAAGTATTAGGGCTATAGAGATGAAGAGTAAGATATATTCCTTGCCCTGTGACACTCACAGTTTGAGGAAAATTCTCCTATGACTGGTGGGCATCAGTTACGTTCTGCAGACGCCCTTTTCACAGCCAATGTTGGGGCTAGAGGTTATAGAGGAGGATTTATTGGGATGTTTTGCAGGGGCTTAAGAAAATACTGCTATCTGACTTTTTATTAAAATGTGGTGAAGGACTGTGTCTTTTTCTTATGGAATCTGTCTCTACAATGTAGATGAAATGCTTTGGTGTTGAGAATTGACTTCCAAACAATATTAGAAAGAGCAAATAGTTGGAAGAGTGGGCGGGACAGGACTGGCCCTACTTTGATAGTTAATGGGTCTGGGTGATAGACATATGGGGATGCATTAGACAACTTTCTATTTTCACATAAAAAATTAGTTAAATGATTTTTTAAGTAAATCAATTCATCTTTGGCTGCAAATATCATTTCCCATAGCTGCCCAGGAACACCAACAGCATGTTAAGTGGTAAGCCAAACTCTGTGAGGAATTCAGCATCTAGATCATCCCTGGAGTTCTTAAAGCTTTATGTACTGCAAGCTCTCAAGGAATCAAACTAACTCTTATCTCTGTGGTGTAAATACATAAGTAAACCCTATACTATTGCAAATCTAAGATTATCAACCTCGATAAGTCTGCACCCATCATCATATTATTGATTTTCTTTTGATAAGTAAGCAGGTATAAATTTAATGAATCTACAGCATAACTCAGTTCATTGAAAAGTGCTGGCAACATGCTCTTTCACCAACTTAAAAATATGTAAAGAAGGGCTGGGGATGTGGCTCAGAGGTGGAGCACTCACCCAGCATGCGTGAGGCACTGGGTTTGATCCTCAGCACCATGTAAATGTAAAATAAAGATATTGCGTTCACCTATAGCTAAAAACTAAGTTTAAAAAATGTAAAGAAAATGTGAGCTTTATAATGGAGACCAGCCTGATTTTGGTTCACTGAAACCTCTGTGGTTGATATCTTGCATATAGAATCTGGCACTCCCATAAGGGAGAATTTTCAAACTAACTTTTGCTTTTGACCTATCATATTCTAGACACAAAAATATCACCTTATCATCAAAATCAAATATATGACCTGTTGGTATCACCATTACACCAACTGGATGGGTTCATAGGCTTTAACTTATTTAAGACTGCATAGAAAGTGGCAGAAGTAATTCAAATCTAGGTCTTTCTGATTCCACTACTTTCATCCTGTGTCCCATTGAGACACAACATATGATTCCTTAGGGATAAGTACTTGGCTCCTTAATTTATGTAGAAGATTAGTAATTTGTCCTAGGATTGAAGATAAAGTATGAGGAGGGTAAAGAAAACCAAATAGATTTTTCACCTGCCAAGTGAAGTGTGATGGTAAGGTAATGAGGAGGAGTTTATGATTGGAACCTAAAATTAAAAAAAAAAGAAAATGAAAACAAAACAAGTTGGGCACAGTGGTGCACACTGTAGTAATCCCAGCAGCTCTGGAGGCTGAGGCAAGAGGATCACAAATTCAAAGCCAGCCTCAGCAAAAGCAAGGTGCTGAGCAACTCAGTGAGACCCTGCCTCTAAATAAAATACAAAATAGGGCTGGGGATGTGGCTCAGTGGTTAAGTGACCCTGGGTTCAATCCCTAGTACCAAAACAACAACAACAAAACAAGCAAAAAATAATTGTTGAAAAACAGTGCTCCTTCAAGAGAGAACTACATAAACAGAAGTTTCTTTAAAAAATAGAATCCCAGGGAAAAAAAGATTGTAAGCTGCTTGAAAAAAAACTTTAAAAATGTTAAGTTAATGAGATGGTGGAAAAGATAATTCTCAAGTTCTATCCCTTAGGAGTTCCACCTAGGTCCCCAAGGCCTGCTATAAGAAGGCAGCCATATCTGTGAAAGTAGGCACATCACAATTGGCTAGATTAGTTGAATATGAGTGTTTTCCAAAAGCTAGCTCCTGCTCTAGTCTTTGTTTACCAGCTGTAATGAATTTGTAATTCTTGCAAATATGAGCCACTGATCACAAGGGCACAGGAGCCCAAATGAGAAAGTGTGTATGAGCAGCATAGGCACAATCTTGTCCTGGGAAAGCTACTTAGAGGACATCCCCTGTTCATGGGATATGGACATTAATTTTGTAGACGGAGGCTAATACTATTGAAGAAATTTAAGTTTTAAGAAGAGAGAAAAAAAGCAATTATTGGTGTTCCAAGCTATGAAACAGGCAGGTATATACACTATCTCAAACTTGGGCCCCTGATTGTTTTGGTGAATCAACATATTTGGCTCCGCTCTGTGTGATTATACCTTTGAGCATATTTCTTGAGGTTCAAAAAATTACTTAAAAATTAGAAGAGTGGGGGTATAGCTCTGTGGTAGAACACTTGCCTAACATGTGTGAGGCTCTAGGTTCCATCCCCAGCATCACAGACAAAACACACAAACACACACACACACACACACACACACACACACAGAGTTATGGTTTGGATATGGGGTGTCCCCCAAAAGCTCTTGTGTTTATGCAGGAAGGCCTGGAGGTAAAATGATTGGATTGTGAGAGATGTAACCTTATTGGTCCATCCTAGTTTGAATGGATTGACTAAGGCTGGAGGAGGTGTGTCACTGGGGATATACCCTAGAAGAGTTGTTCTTCCCTGTGTCCCTCATTCCTGGCTGCCACGAATGGAGTGGTGCTCCTCCACCATGCCCTTCTGCCATGATGTTCTGCCCTCATCATGGGCCCAAAGCAATGGAGTCAGCCATCTATGGATTGAGACCTCTGAACTGTGAACTCCAAATAAACTTTCCCTCTAAGTTGTTCTTGTTGGGTATTTTGGTCACAGCAATGCAATGCTGACTAACACACACACACACACACATGCATAATGATTACACTGGAGTTTGAACTTTCATTCCAAGTTACATAACTACAAATTGTTCTCATAAACTTGTTGCAGAATGTCTTTTCTGGGGGAAAAACCAACATCTTCCTCTCGTCTATTATTATGAGAGTCTCTCAACTGAGGTCTCTCTCTATATATAAAGATTCACATTTCCCAATTTTTGTGTAAGTCTACCAATTTGATTGGGAAAAATAATTCTTCCATGCTTGCTTTTGTTTCTGTTGAATGTTTTGTAAGTTCAAAAGACATTCCTTATTTGCATTTGATGAAAAGCAATTTAAGAAGCACAACCTTTTGTGTGCCCTTTGTTTCTGGGGCCTTGGTAACATTGCCTCACCTGTGAATGACAGCGAATAAATCCTCAGTTGTTCGAGGTTTGTTTGGAGATACAAACACACCCTCTGCTTCAGCTTGAGAGTCTTCACTAAGTGGTGAGATGACGGAGTCATCACTCGGTGATGATTCTTAAAATAAGAACAGAATTATCTTTAAGAAGAAGCTACTCAGCACACTACTATGCTACTGACTTGCGGATCAAACAGGAGTTACCTTACCACGAGTTTTCACATGAGAAATATATCTTCAAAGCTTAATTCCTCAACAACACAAGCCTTTATCTATGTTGTTTTAATACATGAAAAGAAATAGTGGAGAGAAACCAACACCCAGGGCTGTACTGTATTATGGAGAAATAAAAAAGAAATGCTATAGGAAATGCCCTAAGACACATTTCTTTCATGACATGGGTAACAATGACTGACCTTTCAGTGAAGCCTCATCCACATTTCCTTGGGTCTCCTCTGCTCTGCTGTTATCAGAGGCACTTTTGGGTGAAATACCTGAAGCAATATTTTCCTGCTCAAAACATTTTTCAGGAAATGAATTTACAGTTGATATCTCTGATTCATAGCGGATAGTCCCAGGCACTTTGTCGTGGTGGTGGCTCATAACAAGTTGATGCTTAAGTTGGTTGCTTATGTCCATTGTTCTAGTTGGTGAGTTGGACTGAGATGCGATTACATCCATAGGTTGTGCACCTTCCTCCTGATCTTCAGAGGATGGCTTCTGTTCTAGCGCTCCATCTGGACCAGCTCCATACTGTATTATTTTGCTGTCCAAGCCATTTGGGCGGGCAGCAGACACCCTTTGAAATCCTTCTGTGGAAACCCCACAGTTTTTAGTTGGTATGTTTTCTGGAATAGGCTCACTCTCCATCTCTATTTGGTCTTTCATGACATTTGAATCTAGAAGATTGCTACCAGCTGAGGTCACAGTTTCTGGATTGCAGTGATTCTTCCCATCGAAAGGAGGGTTCTTATCCAAATGTAGTTTATCTGGTCCCATCTCAACCGCAGAAGAATCTAAAAAGGACAGTATGCTATCTTCAGCAGAGTACTGCCGTGATACTGATTTCTTCGCCATATGTGGCCTGATCTTACCTGGAGATAAGGCAGCCATTGTGAGAGCACTTTCCTCTAAGTAGGGGAGATCTGTATTGTTGCCTTCTTTTTGCTTAACTTCTTCAGACTTACTGATGGACCTAAGGTTAACAGATTTCAGGACTGTCGGTGTAATTGCAAGGGACGGTGGAGGATTTGACCTCAGCATTTCTCCTACTGTGTTTTGCTTATTATGAGTAAAAACATGCAATGGGTGACGGTGGTGGAATGGTTTATTCAAGACATTATGAAGAGCACTTAGGTCAAGATGAGTAGGAGGTATAATTGGAAGTTCAAGGTCTTTACTCAGTGAGAGGGTTCCATCTTTTAAAGAGGGTTGCTGGAGTGAGGATTTCCTTTCTGGGACTTTAGGTTTTCTTTTGCTACCTCCAGGAGACAATGGACCTGAAAAGAAGGCTGTAGGGAAAGAGGATGTTGGTGTTTCAGACTGGCTTGAATAGCCACTTGACGGAGAAGCCAAGCCAGCCAGCTTTTCTGGTGATGCCAGTTTAAATTCATTGTCAACAGAAGGAAGAGATGGGGTGGTGGCTCTTGATTCTGACTGTGATGTTTGGGATTCAGAGCTCTCTGGAGATTTGATGCACTCGATAACTGTGGTACCCGTAGCAGTGCTTGAATTAGATAAGGATCTATAAGGATCATTTGTTTTCAAGTCATTTAGAAGCCAGAGGTCTGCATAGTGAGTTGATTCAGCACCTTCATCTTTGAATGGTGGAATATCTGAGGTGTCTAACTGAGGTTCCTTCATTCCATGTTCGCTCTGGTTCACCCAAGAAGGTTCCTGCTTGGTCGGAAGATTGACATTTTCCATTCGAGAAGGCGTGTTGGAGAAATCAAGAGGCAACTTCATTTCCCTGGAACTGTGAGGCAGGTGCTGACCACTGCTTATTTTTGGTTCTTTCTTCTCAGGAACATCTGCATTTCCATCGGACTTCCTCAACGATGAGCTACGTTTAGGTGGGGTAGGCTTTGCCTTTGGTTTCCTGAAAGAGATGCTTGGTCTCCCTTGCCTCCTGTGATCTAAGTAGTCCTGCCAGGCACAGTCTGGAAGACCAGGACCGATGCCCTGGCTGTTTTCTGGACCCATGGCTGCATAATGACAGACATAGCTCTTATTACCTTTGAGCCCACAGTCAAAATGCATGGAGGTATAGTATCCTTCTGTGTCTACTGAAAAGTGAGAGCTGGTATCTGCTTTGTCCGATGGAGACTTTTCCAGAAAACTGTCATAAGTGGCCATGCTTGTGAAGCTTGGGCAGCCCAGGCTATCTGCCTTCGGACGCTCAGGACTAAAATCTTGGTGGCAGGAGGCATCATGATGGTGGTGCAGGTAATTCCACTCACTGTCACTTGTGTTGCTATTGCTAGGGTCATCCAGCAGATCTGCAACAGTGGAGGTAAAGGAGTTTGCCCGGTGGCCTCTCACTTTATCCAAATGGTCATTGTACTGCTCTGTCACAAAGACACTGGTGTCCTCGTTAGCATGAGGGGCTGTGTTTAATGACAACTCTGAGTCACAGTGTGAAGAGCCAGTGAGGGGAGGAGAAGCTGCAGGAGGGATTGTTTCTGAGGTCTGTGAGGGGCATGTGGAGCTGCTCCCACTCCAGTTCCCACTGGATGACTGGTGGTCATCCTTCTGGTCCATGTGGCTGCTGAGGAGGACCCCAGCCGTGGAGATGCAGTGGATAGGGCTCCCAAAGGTGTCTGAGTTGGAGGAGATGTCACAGCTGCCAGAGTCAGCAGCCATTCGGGACAGACGTGACCTTCCCCTCTCACTTAACTTGTGCTGGGGGCTGTGAAGATGCTGAGAACAGGCCAGGCCCAAAGCAGGCTGGTGTTCCTGTGTACTTGGGCTGCTCGGAGCTTCGCTGCAGTCATTAGGGGTTCTTTCATGGTCGCCCACGAAAGGCTCTTCCTCTTCATATGTTGAGGGTTTAGCACCAACTTTGGGTTCAGCATCTCCACCTCTATTACCTTCCCGAGGAAGGCTCCGAGATCTTGTACGGCTGCTCACTGTAGGAGTAAACATGGTGTCACCTTTGTCTGCCAGCGCAGAAATGTTGCCAGCAGAATGAGAAAGGGAAGCTGCAATGCTTTGACCCCTTTGAGCCCTGATTCTCCTTCTGGATGGGGCAGCAATTAGAATATCCTCAGTTTGGCACTCAGAGTCTCTGGTTCCGGACCTCCTGTTGACAGTGTTGGAGGGATCTGGGTTTGTGTGCACAATCACATTCCTTTCCCTGGCCACTGGTGATTCATCAGAATCTAGGGCACATGGAAAGCACAGTGAGATATTTAATACATCAACAGACTAATTGAAAGATATCCACAGATCTGTGGGCTGGCATGTAAGTTTCTCTTACAGAAAAAAATCAATAAAATATAAAATCAATAAAAATCAATATTAGGAGAAATCAAATTAGGAAAAAGTTAAAATGCTTTCTGTCTTTCTCTGTTTCTATCCTTGTTTCTCTATCAATCTATATATAAATAAATGCATACACATATATATGTATGTATAGTAAGAGAAGATATGCTTTTATATCTTATGATCTCTCTTTACTACCACATTGATTTGCACCAGAAAGTGACAACATTTTTTAACTAAAGTACATTTTATCTTCTTGGATACTACTTTTTATTTGTATTTTGTAATATAAACATAATAAAATGAAAATCATAGACTTTGTTAGAAGACATAAAAATCTTATTTACAAGAGAAGCTACCATAATAATGATTTTTAAAACCTAGGCAGAGATATTCTAAACACATTGAACAGAATAGAAAAGTGTCACCAAAGGTACCATATTTTCAATATTCAATATTTGAGTCTGTTTGTTACTTTTTAAAATAACTAATGCTGTAAAAGTATATCTGTCTTTAAATGAAGTTACAATTTTCCAAAAAATATCTTACATTGAATCGTATTACTTTTTATTCATAATTTCTACCTTAAAAATTAAAAATTTTTAGTGTTTTCTTCCTTAACATTTAAAAATTAGCAAATATTACATTTCAATCACAAAACTTGAGTGTATATACCCACATCTATACTTTATATTTAAACCTTTACAGTCAAGAACAGAGAGTTAAAAAGTAATACTGCCTGACTTGCTGAATACAAAACAAATACACACCATTTCCAAACCTCTACCAGTTAAAACATGTAGTATTTTTAAGGAAGCCAGTTGAAGGCTGGCTTCCATTTTACCTCTTCATAATCTGCACTAGACAGAAACCATTAGCATTTTTTATACCACACCTATTTCTTGTTGAACTCTTCTAGGGATACCCGAGATGGTTTTCCTCCTCCTCAATTTTCGTCTCCGCTGTAGTACAGATTGTGAATGAACAAGAGAGCAGCGTATACTAGCCTCTCTGTCAAAACCAACTCCTGCAACCCACAAAATAGGTCTCATTAGCCTTTAGAAATGGCAAACAAATTTTCATTTGCTTGGAACACAGTGATATTTATTGATTGGAAGTGAGGGAAGAGTTTGGATTAAGCCTGTGAACAAATATAAGGGAGCCCTTATTCAGCTCTTATTTAAATTATGTTGCAGTACATTAAGCTTTACTTCTAAAGGGTGCTCTCCACAACAGCTCGCACTGCCAAAAGTAACAATCAAAGGAGAGAAATCAAAAGAAAGAAAAGAGAAATAGACATCAAAAAATCACTCTCACACAGAAAATGGCTCCTTAAGGATTTATAACCTTTGGTTACTATTATTTACTGGTCTATTTCTGGGCTCTCTGAAACTGATACCTTTGCATAGTAGATTCAAAGCCAAGATGTTAACCTGAATTAGTTCAGCTAACATATCCTGACCCATTTCTTTATTAAAAGCGTCTTTGTGAGTCTTTTTCCCCTCCACCTCCTGTGCCCAAACCTTAGCCTCTAGTTGTGTAGGCGTGTGCACGTGTACACACACACACACACACACACACACACACACACACACACACAGCAGCTTATTGGATTTGTTTTCTTAAATCATCACGTAACTTTTTTCTTCCACTAACTAAATTGGATGCTTTTTGGTTTAGCACCAGCTGTCCTATCAATATGAAATAAACATATAGGGCAGTCCTCAGTTCTGCACTTGAATGGATCCCTTCTGTTCCATCTGTAAAGTTTCAATTCTTAATCTTTATGCCATTTGTTTGTTTGTCTTTATAACTACAAAGGACCAATCTTGATGCTCATTAGTTTCTCTCTCTTTACTCATATTACCAACACTACATGCAGTCCTATCAAAACTAGAACAATGAGGTGGGAGGCAAGGAACTCAAACTCTTCCTGGCACAGGCATGCACGTTGAATTTTTCAGAGTGTGCTTCATCTCAGACAGCCAAAATGTCATGAATTTGGTCATTTCATCCTTTATCCTGATTGTTAAGCATGGGAATGGCAATATAAATCTTGGTTCAGCTGTATAATGAAGCAGTTGAGTTCTGCTTATAGGGCCAACAGTTTCTAGAATTCACTTTGAAAAATCTGTATCACATGATGAATAATTATAATACTATCAGATAATTTTTACTAAGGAAATTTTCCTTTCTTAGTTCTGACCAAAAATTAAAATGCTTCATTTTGCTATTAATGATTATAGAATAGGTGATACACAGGCACAGACATTGTGTTATGTGGACAGCAATAATGACATCCTCATTAAAGCTCTTGAAATCAATGTCTGATCTAGGCTTTAGTCTGGGATTTCCTAAAATAAAGCAGAAGGAGAAATCTTCCCTTTTTCCTAATCATAGACGATAGCCCATAATCATAGGACTGAATTTGAAAACAAGATTTTACTTACAGTGCCAGGAAGGGAGCAGGTGCTGCTAATCATCAGATGTTCCCAGAACTGAAAATTAGTTTAAGAGGGTGCCAAAACCCTAATACATCCCATTTAGATTACAGAGATCAGATAATCGCACATCTTTAGTATAAATTTTCCTACAAGTTGAATAGGTCATCAGAAAAATTAACTCCCAGTTCACAACTGGCCAATCAACTAGAACTCCTTTGTTTTTTTTTTTTTTCTTGAGGAAAAAATATCTGTCCCACATACCTGGTCTGTTTGCTTCCTGCTCTATGTGAGAGAAATTTGAGTGGGGTTAATAATAGCTGTGTCCAAAATGCATCTTAAGGGACCTTAAATCTTTTGTCATATGAAATCAAAATGAAAATCAGTCATAACATGACTGTTTTGAAATTTTCAATAAATAAATAAGTTAAAACATCACTACTAGAGATGTTTAAAGAAAGCCCAATGGATAGATCATTTAATTTCTATCTTTGAAAGTTAGAATATTTATATCATTATTTGACTTACAATTTAAGATGATGAGATCCAGTTCTGGAATTCACAATTATCAAAAAAACATTGAAGAAAATTCCAGCTAGGCTTTCATTCCACCTAGACTAATATTCAAACTCTTATACCCAGGAGGAGGAAAACAGAGAGTGAAAAGAAGACAGGCTTGCTGGTTATAAAATAGAATTTAGCGTTAATTTATGTATTTAGGTCAAAAATCCCTAAAATTAATACAGAAATCTAAATGGTCTTTTTTTTTCTCAATCCTACCTTCATCAAAGGAAGCATGAAAACAGATTTTTCTAGTTGATCAACTTGCTGTTTTAGAAACCTGGGTTATGCTGTTTTCTTTCCGTGGGTGCCACACATCATTATCATATGATTAATCACTGCAGCTTTCTCCTAATTTCAGTAAACTAGGGCCAAAGAGCTATTTGCTGATTTTTTTTTCAAAAAGAAACTGTCCATCATTTACATAACAAGTAGCCCAGTAGAACATATGCAAATGGATGTTCCAAACCTGACAATAGCCTATTGAGCATCTCCTGGGTTGCATTTGGATGAAAAAAAAAAAGGTGTTATTTATTTACAAAATGGTATTCTTAATGCCTAGCCCTACAGCACAGATTTAATACACAGAATATTCTGACCCAACTGCCCCTAAAGGGGAAAAAACAACAACAAGAGAACGATACCAGTGACATTGATGGGAATAATGCAAGAAGAAATCACTTGGGCATCTTGTTTCATCTTCTCCTCTGGCGTTGGGAGAGGTAGCGCTTTGCTCCAGTTGGTCTGCTTGTCCAGTGTAGAGGGGATATTGTGTATTGGGTTTTTCGGCCTCTGCCCTAACATGACATCTGTATCTTCGTCCTCTGGGGGGTGGGACTGCAAACGAAGTACATTCAGATTCAGTCATCACAGCTTATGCATAAGCACACATATAAGGAATTTCACAGTTTAGATAAGAAAAAAGAAAAAAAAAACAAGGTCAGAAATATGCTTTTAGGACAAAGGAAGAATTCCCAGAAATAGTTAGTAAGCACAACTACTTGAAAGTATTATTTCAATAGTGAAGCAACACAAAAAGAAAACATGGATCAAACGAACATGCTCTTCAGTTAAAAGGAATAAAGAAGAGAGACAAGGTAGTCAGAAAGTCCCAAATTTCAAACTGAAGGAGACATCTAAGGAAAAAATAGATCTGCTTTCTGGCTATTTATCTTGCCACAAATTTCTATCAAAAATCTTGGGATCAAAGGAAGATGTGCCAAAGGCTCAGAAAATGTGCCAGAAAACCTGGAGTCGGGAGACATTCCAGAACACATCATCCGAAGGACAAGCCAACCTAATCTGAGAGGCCTTTAAAATACAAGAAGTTAATTTCAGTGCAGGAGGAAAGCTTTTATGAATAATATTTTAAGAACTCAGTTTCATCAACACTGTATGCACAAGGAAAAGCAAAGAGAAGAGACCCCCCCCCCAACTCTAATGGAAAATACAATTGCTATTACTGGGGAAAAAGATTCAAGTGGGTTTCTTTTTCAAATTTGGAAGAATAAAACAGTCCTAGTTTATTTTCTTTCAGCTTTGCCCTATAAAACTTCTTTCAGCTGTGTAGTAAGAGGTTTTTATTTCTATATGACATTTGAAAATTCTCCATTCAAACCTTTGATGAATATTAATATTGTCTAACTTCTGTTCAGGATTGGGCACCTGGCCCAGGTTATTAAAAAAGTTACATCCCAGTTTTGATTTCAGGGTTGGATTTCTAAACCAGATTACTAAAAGACCCAGTTTTCACTACTGAACCTAGTTTTATTTCTTTATATGTTTTGGAAGAAGGGGGTATCTGTATAAAAGAAATACTTTTTCCTCTTATTCCAGTAAGGTTTTGATAACACTCTGCTTAAATATCTAATATTCTGTTCTAAAATCAGAATCATTTAAAAAAAAATTCTCTTCACATTTGGAAACATCTTGCCTGCTGACTCAGAGGATTTCACGTATTGTCAAATGAACTATTCTCAAGTCCCTTTAAAGAACGGATTCTAGAATCACTTGTTTAAACTAACTCCCACTATTTACTTACCTTATCCGAGGTTTCTGCAAAGCCCCCCAACACACCCAACAGGATATGATTCCCCCCTTGGGAAAAATGTGTTCGCCATGAACGTTTTAATAAAATATTGCAACCTTCTTTCTCTCTTCAGCTTTTGTGCAGATTCCCAGCGAAGCGAATAGCTCAAATAAAGTTGGAGCACAAAAGACTTTGTTTCCTAGGTAACTTCCAAAAAAGAAAAAAAAAAAAAAAAAGTTTGGTGCATGCAAAAAGAGAGGAGGGGGGTGGGTTAGGGCTGAAGCACGCAAGAGCAGAACTTAGAGACACCCCCACCACCAGAGGCCTCATTTGGTAGGCGATTCCTTCCTTGAATAACAATGGACCTGGAAAGGACTAAAGGATAGTGACCTGACTACTGGCTCTGACCAGCAGCCAAAAGCACTTTTATTTCATGGTGACAGGGACAATTGACTGCCAGAGAATCCTTTTATCCTGTTCTCTGTTTTCGATTTGAAAAGCCGAAACTTTACAGTTCTGATAAATATAGGGCAAGTTGGAATTTCTTTCCTTGCAACTGCAGCAGCAGCAGCAGCCAGTAGGCATTGCCCATATTGAACAGAGCCGCAAATTACAACTTGGAGGGGGGCAGTAAATGGGGGAAAAGTCCAATGCTATGGCTGTCTCCATTATATTTTGTTTAATTCAAGTTAGGAAAATACCGCTCTTTAAATTGAATTTAAAAGAACAACTGTTAGTTAGAAGAGAGTTTGCAATAAAGTTAAAGGAGAGAAGAAAGGGAGAACTTCTGAAGAGAGTATAGGATAGGGCTGTGAAGGAATGTTCTCAGAACCAATACCTTTCTACTCCATGGGGCCATGTGGCAACACTCAGTGGGGGAGGGCGAACGGGTGCTGTTAAACTATGAACATGAAATAATGCAAAAAGAAAAGAAAAGAAAAATTAAAAAATGTACACACAGTATAATCTTGGTTAGGCCAAATCTATGATATTAATGAATGAATATACTAGGGTATCTCCCTTCCATCTGTCTGTCCTTCCTTCCATCCTTCCAAGGTAGCATAAATATCAGCTAAGAACCCAGACTCTGGAGTCAAGACTTCCTGAGTTCAAATCCTGGCTACCTGGCTTATTTTCTGTGTGACCGACCAGGTGCAGTTATTCAGCTTCTCTAAGGCCAGTTTCCTCATCTGTAATAAGGTAGGAAAATAACAGCATTTACCCTCCAGGGCTATTTTGAGGATTTAATAAGAAAATATATGTAATCTGTTTAGAAGAATCCTGACACTTAATAAGCTCTATATGTTAGTGTGAACTACTAGTACAACTATTATTATTATTACCCTTACTTTGCAGCTGTGAAATATATACATATATATGAAAATGCCTTTGCAGATCATAACATTCCCATCTTTTAGATCTCAACCCCATTTGCTAATTTGGGAAAGACCAAATTATTTTTTTCCTTAGAGTAATTTTACTTTTCTATGAACTACTTGGAAGAAAATTTCCTGTGTATAATTTCCTCTAGACTGCTCAAATTTGCTTCTCCTTTACAGACTATATTTAGACCAGCCAGTTTCATGAGCATGTGTCCTATGCAGTCCCACAGAGCCCCATAGTCAGAAGGCCCCTACACTTGGTTTAATGTCCTTCTGTCACTGTCTTGAAATTCTTTTTTTGTGAGTAAGAGACCCTGCATTTTCATTTTATACTGAGCCCTAAAAATTATGTCCCAGTCTTGTTTGGAGAATAATCTGGTAATAGTCCCTTTTCAGGAACTACTCAGAAGGGCATTCAAACTCTTTTAAACACTAAACCATACCAGCTTTGGATTTGCTTAGGCATCCTTTATAGTACTTACCCTATGGCATACCTTTAATGTAATATGAATCATCCCTGGATGTGCCTTTTTTATCTAGTAGATTGTGAATTCCTAGAGAAGCCATATCAAATTTTCCTTTTAAGTCTTCTATGATGCCAGCAAAGTGCCTCCCCCATTTTAAGAGCTCAACAAAATATTTGTGCTCTTGGATGGATGATACCATTTCTGTGTGTCTTAACAGTGATGAGAAACTCAAAGTAAGAGGCATCTCAAGATCTCAGGAGGAAGCCTATACAAAATCACCTAAGAGATAGGTGAAAACAAAGACAGAAAACCACAAACAACCTTTGGTTGCCCCAGAGGCTCAGTATGGATGGCTACTGAGCCTAGTTATTCTTAAGTCTGTATCAAACATGCATTTTGGGTGGGGGGCACTCAAGGTCTAATTCTAACTTAAGTTTCTAAGTTTTAATTGACAGGGTTACTCATTTATTTTTTTAAGCAGAGTAAATGTCATCTCCTCAGGCCCAGTTAACTTTGGCATAAATATTATTTAAGAACTAATTAATGATTCTGTAGGGTTATGGCTTCCTCACTGAAAGTAACCATTTTGACAGATGTCTTAGATTTGACCTGAATTCAGACACTAACCTGGTTTTCTCCTAAAAATCACTCACAGGTAATGATGTAGACATGTCAAGTAAGACACTGGGGTATGTAGAGAGAAAACTCATGGAAATGGGGAACCTAAAAGTAAAGCTTACATGGAAAAGGAATCTGCTTCAAAGAAACGTGAAAGGATTTTTAAGAACTCACAGCAGGAAACTACTACTGGTCAGAAAACATGAATGATATTAATATATAAATTTTGGTAGTTCATTATAAATCTCCTAAGTCAGCTTTCCTGTTGAGCATTTTTTTTTTACAGTTAGTGATGGGTGAGGAGTGGGTTTATTTTTTTTATTCATTTAAGAAACCTGTCCACAAAATTAAACTAGCAGAAGCAACACCTGGAAATGAGTTAGATGGTCATGGCTAAGCCCAGAGAATTAGTGCATGTCTTTTGGTCACTATGATTGAGTTGTGGTCTCCTTGGGTTCCATTCCATAGCAGATTCCTCATCAACTAGTCAGCCTCTCTAGTATTTTGATAATAGCTCCAACCTCTAGCTTGTGAGGGCTGAGACTGAATGCTTTGAACATGGGTATAGAAGGGCTGTATTCATCAGTTCCTCCACCTAGATACAAACATTTGAGTCCCTATGCAGATGGTCTGCAGATTTCCATTTATAATATTGACATGTGTTATGGTTTTATTTCTGCCATGAATTAATAACTGCCTTAGCATAGTATTTTAAAATGTCTTCTTTCTTGGATGTTTGGTCAAAGGAAATAATTTGCTCTGATTATTTCGGATTAGATTTTTCTATGATGAATACAATAATCAGCTCATAGACATTTTTTCCTAAATTATCTGAGAAATAAGACTGCAAGAGAGGGATAAGTGTTACATCAGAGTATCTCTGCTCAGCCCAGCATGCCACTCTTTAACAGGGGCTGATGGATACTGTTAGGAAAAGCTGGATGCTGATCAAACTTGTATGAACTAAATTATTTTTAATGGTTTCTATTTAAATGGATCCTATTGCTCATTCAGAGAAAGACTATTTCTTGTTCATAACTGCATTTCCACCATCCATAAATATTTGTTGTACTGCTAGCACTCCCGAGTGCCTGGAAAAAGCAAACAAAAATCCCTCCTAAAGAAAAAATATCAAATTATTCCCACCCACATATAATTTTTCAGTATAACTTCTAGTATAAAGTCAAAGATAACAAAGCACAGGAAAGAGATAAGACAGCATGAATAAGAAATATCCAAAACAACAGATAATAGAAGCAGACCACAGGGACTCTTGATTTTGGAATTATCACTCTGTGTAGGAGTGTCAGAGAACAATTTTGGCTTTCCCAAAAATAAGTGTGTGGGAAGAATGTTAGGAGACCACTCATTCATTTATTCAAGAACATTTCTTTGATGAGCGTCAAAATCAGTCCCAGTAGAAACAAACTGTCAGATTCAAAATATAAACAATTTTTCCCTCATGGGCATATATATGATTATTTCAACTTTTCTTCACTATTGATTTTTTTTTTACAACAAACTGCTGTTGAAAAATGAAAAAAAAAAAAAGAATAATTTCTCCCTCCTTTTTCAGGGTCCCATTCTGGCCTTCCTACACTGATTTTGAGAGGCCAAACTCCAAGTTGCAACATTATAGCATCACATAGTCCCTGACAAAAGATACTTCTTTGATGCCTTCACTCCATTTCTGTCTCTGCTGGCCCCAACAGGCCCCTCAAATCCTTTCCCTAGCTTCGACTGAGAGACTTAAGACCATTGTTCAAAACAAAAAAGAACAAGCATTATACTCAAAAGTAGTCAAAGAAGGGGCTGGGGTTGTGGCTCAGCAGTAGAACACTTGCCTAGCGCATATGGCATATGAGGCACTGGGTTTAATCCTCAGCTCCATATAAAAATAAATATATAAAATAAAGGTATTGTGTCCATCCACAACTAAGTGTGTGTGTGTGTGTGTGCGTGTGCGTGTTTTAAATTTTTACATTTTAGTTGTAGATGGAGACCATATAAAATATAATAACTAAATAATTATAATATAAAATATAATAATTAAAATATAAAAATTTAAAACATATAAAAATACATATATACACACACTTAGTTGTGGATGGACACAATATCTTTATTTATTTTTTTATGTAGTGTTGAAGATTGAACCCAGTGCCTTGCATATGTGAGGTAAGCTCTCTACCACTGAGCTATAGCCCCAGTCCCTAAGAATATATATTTCTAAAAAAAGTAGTCAAAGAAATTTCTTCGATGGATACTGAAAGAATATTTTCAAAACCCAATCTTTCTTGTGGTATGTGTGTGAGAAAGTTCATTTCTTCACTTTTGTGCCTATGAACAAGTATTTCTCCAAAGATTTCAAGACTTCCCCTAATCTTTCTCTTAAAGCCAGAAGAAAAAATAATCTCTCCATTCCATATTTTACTTTCTTTTGGGTTTTATTTTATATGCTGATGGGGGCCTATTTTGCATCAAAACTTTCCAAAAGATATCTGTTAAAATGTTGTGGGTGTTCCAGCAGGAAATGTTTTGAAAATTGGCTTTGGTTTGTGATCTAACTGATACCACATGGCATTTATAGCAGTCAACTTTCAGAGCTGATTTATTACTATCATGCTGTCTTAAACATGAGAAATGTTTACTGGAGACTAGGTGTTACACTACATTTGGATACAGGAGTAAAACCTTCGAGCAAATATGTCCGTTGAAAGCCACATTGGATTTCTAGTGAGGCCATATGGGCTCCTATTGTCACTTTACCACAAGGTTTATTTGTCTTTAGACCAAGTCCCTGCATTCGTGCACATACTATGGTCCATCTGTGAGATGGAGGAGCTCCCATCTGCCTCCGATTCTTCTACACAGGAGTGTGTGTGGATGTGTTATACATCAATATGAACTGCTTTGATCTTTCTCAAAGGCTTAAAGAAATCTGGCAATGCCTTCTTCACATGTCACTATTATTACTATGATGACATAGCACTTTTATTCCTTTGAGAGTGTCTCAACATCTCCCACTGGCTGGCACTGTGCTTTTGTTCCAAATATATTTTGTGACATTTTAAATTCATCCTATGCTTCCTTCTTCCCCTCTTTTCAATTCCAACACTCACCAACATGAACAACCATGGGGGCAAATGAGATACATAGAAGCTTAAGGGACATCCTATGCTTTTGCTATCCTAAGCCTTTCTTCCCTTCCAGGTGTGTCCTTTGTCACCACTCCCTCCCAGGCAGTCAGAGCCTTCAGCTTCCTCAAAGGACCTGAATGTAGCATTCTCACCTGGCGTGACACCCCTTACCCAAGTGCTCAAACCCTTCCCACTGCACGCCCAGTCAGCTGTGAGGCTAGAAAGAAGCCCACAGATGTACCCCTATGAAGGTGCTGAGAACCTTTCTTAGAAAGTCTAAGAGAACATATCACT